TTTGTTTTGTTTTTTTATGAATTCAAACTGTGTGTTTCCATTTTCCTGAATTTTTAATTGGGGAAAAAATGTACAATGCACTGCATTTATTGAGACATTCCACAGCATGTTAACTACTAAAATTGTTGAATTTCAAGTGTATGAGGGAGTGGAAAGCAGCAGCAGCAGCAGCAGCAGCAGCAGCAGCAGCCGCAGCCGGTAAGAGAAAGGCCTTCAGAGAGCAAACCCCACCCTCAGCAGACAAACGGTGCCCTCCACGTGCTGATGACTGCCCGGGCGCCTGGCTCCCGACCGTCCTTCTAAAGCGCTTTCTGTCTCGGCATCTCTGTATACCTTATTATCCCAAACTCTTTTTTTTTTTTTTCTTTTGGACCAGGAAAAAAAAAAAAGCTGTGTGTGTCAGGTGGTGGGATCACTGTTGCAAACATAGCTTCTATTTCGGGCATGGTAACGGAGACACAGTGCATTTCTGAATCTGATTTAATACCCTCAAGCTCCCATTTCACCCTCAGGAATGTCACTGCTGTTGCAAAAAAAAGAAAAGAGAAAAAAAACTGTTTACAAAGTAGAGGACTAGCTAGAAAAATCATTGCTAAAAAGTCCTATTTTTAGAGTAATAGTCCAGCTAATACAATTTACTAGCCTAAGAAGTGATGCCAAGAAATGTACGGGATAGAGGGATGGCATTCAGCCTGGCAGCCTGAAGTCATCTCCTTCACTTAGTTCAGTGAGAAACGACTCCTGCAAGTTTGCAAAGCTGTCCTCCGACCTCCACATAAGCACTGCGGCATGAGCGTGCTCCCCCCCAACACACACATCATTTGAAATCTCTAATAAAATCTGCTAAGGCTGTTTGTTTTTAATCTAAGATAACCCAAGTAAATAATGGAGCACTCTGAAAGCAAATCTTTGCAGTGAGCTCACAGTGTCAGTAGGTGTAGTCCAATATACCTTTCCAGTACTCGACATGTAAAAAGAACGGCAAACCAGTAAGGAAAGCAGACGTAGATGACTCATGGCTCCTGAGAGCCTGCAGGCGGCTCATGAGTGACTCTGCCAGTAAGTGGATACAAGGTCACATGTCTTGAAAAGCAGACCCCACAGCTGTTGACATCAGTGGCTGCTATCTTTGGCACCTGAAATGAGGGCATTTGGGAGCAACCAGCGAGGCTGGTGCCGAGTGTCATTACCCAGCCCATGTCACACTAATGCGGCCCTCTTGTCCCACTCCACCGTGCAGACCTGCTGACTCACCCATGGCCAGGGCAGCACCCCTTTAATGGAGCCCCTCCTAATCCTGGAGCTGAGATGCTGCGTAAGTGATTTCATTTTCCTATGCTCTCGATCACTGCTAACAGCTGAACCTTTTAACATTTAATCATTGCTTGATTTCCTACCAATAAGATATTCTGACAAATAAAAATTGTCTCTGAAAAAAAGAAAAAAAGCATCACTGGACTTTCCCCCCCTGCACGTGTTGGTATCAAAACAGAAAAATAACTCACACCACATTGCATGCTACAAACTCAGAACTGTTTACAATCAAGACCAAGTTCAAAGCTTAACAAGATGCTTTCTGGAGTGACTCACAGCCGCGTGTTAATGGCACTCCCGAGTTCACTCTGCAATTTTTAAAATCAAGTCTGCATCTTTTCTATGAGAAGTTGACAAGCACAGAGTACATGCAGTGGAAACCCCAAGGACTCAAGAACTGTTGCTCAGTCTCAGTGAGGAAGAGCATGCAAACTATTTACAAAAATGTGAGCTCTGACTGCTCAGTTACCTGGGAAATTCAACTATTCGGGAGCAACGACAGCCAAACTTTCTACCAATTCTGCAGTTGGTTCTTGATCTTCCTGCTGCTCACAAGTGCTCCCACGAGGCCCATAAACCCAGCACATAATTGGTGGTCTATATTTAGTGTTGATTTAGCCACGCAATGCAAGATTCCACCATAATGTCTATGAGTTTTAGACATGCATTACTGAAACTTCTGCTTTAAAACAACACACCGCCAAGCCTTGATTCAGTTGGTAACTAATGAGGTTCTTATGAAATTGAAGTCAGAAGTCCTTACTCGGTGGACGTGGCTGGGCTGAGTCAGTTGCCAGCACATTCCCAGCACTTCTGCTATGGTATACTCCTGTGTATAAGTACCCTGCCGCAGGCAGGCAGGCAGGCAGGCAGGCAGGCGCTACCACGGTGACGGCTGGTGTGCAGGGACTCCAGACCAACCAGAGGGCTGTAGTAACCAGGAAGAATAACTGTGATAACACAACTAGCACGATGGCTGGTGTGTTAGCTTTCCACTCCTGTTGTCTAAGTGTCCCAAATGAGTCCGCTGCTATGAAGTGTGAAGTTTTATACTAGTCCACTGTTTCAGACCTCCGGCCCAGGCTTGCAGAAAACATGGTAGTGGGTACAGCAGAAACACGTGGCTTTGTCCCATGGCAGCCAAGAAGCAAAGGGGCCAGGTCCTGCTATGCCCTTCAAGAGCGTGACCCCAACGACCTGCCTCCCAGCGAGCCCCATACCTAAAGGTCCACCATACATCCCAGTGGTAGGTACCACAGGCGGGGACTAAGCAAGCCCCCATCACTTTCCTTTAGGGAGACTTTTAAAGATCTCGAGCAGCAGGTCCAGGGACTCCTGGGCCTCCAATTCACTATAAAAAGTGGAAGTGCAAAGATCACACACTTCAGCATTCCTTCCAAGGTGATTTCTTCCAAGCTTAGGCACATATCTGCCTCTTGGGAAAACCAGCCATTTCCCTTCCCTTCCATTCACATCAAGCAGCTCTGCCCTCTGGTGTACACAAAAGGCTGTAAGAGGTGAAAACCGCTGCCCGCAAGCTGCAGGTGCCAGGTCTCAGGCTGCTCGGTGAGGCCGGAAACAGACTTGCAGTTGTTTGTGATCTGCCTTACCTTGCCACAACTGCCTACTCATTACTCAGCTTCAAAACCAGTTTCCTTACACTGTTTTCTTTAGGGACATCATTAAACTTCTAGGAAACAGAAATTCTCATTTTGAGAACTAAGCAGACTACGTAATTGGTAATTTTTTTTTTATCAGAAGTGTTATACATTTTAAACTAAGCTCAAAAAAGATGAAGATGTTCTCATCAGCTTGCCTTGATGAGACAAAACCTTCCTAATTATCCAATTTGTCCCAGATCCCCTATCGTTTGCATAAGCCCTGTTTCATTTCTTGATCCCTGTTTCCCCCTCTTCCCTTCCTAGTCCTCAAGTGCTAATCTTCCAGAAATGGAAACACAGAGCCTAGGAACAAGTAGCATCCCATCACACCTGTCTGAAGGCTATAGTTAGAATCCTAGGAAACGACTTGACCAGAACATAACAGCTTCTTGAATATCTGAAATGCTGCTTAAGAATTTTAAACCAGAAGAAAATATGGTCATATAAGTGATCTATTCTGGAGACATTTTCAAGGATTCCTTGCTATTTCTTTCAGATTCAGTTCCCAGAAAATCCAGTAAATGCCACCAGAGTCGTCACCCATTGCTGACTGCTTTAAAATTAATCCTTGAGCCACAGCACTTCACTGCTTTCAACTCATTTTTCACATCAGGTTCCCAGAAATCTTTATCAGCAGAAATTTCTCAATGATTTCTGGAAGTTTCCATCTTTGTAAACTCAAGTGTGGGTTAAGTATTCTTATTTCTTATTCCCCAAACCCTAATTTAAAAAAAAAAAAAAAGGCAGCATAGGAATAAAAGTCACAAGAGGAAAACACTAGAGTTCAATCAACGAGAACACAATGGGGGGAGACTGAGGTGCTGGGTTTGCCTAGTGGAGTCTCACAAACCTACCATTGCTGAAGATGAGGACAGGCTCAGAGCTGGGATGGAAGAGGTGAGCACGGACGAAATCGATGCGAGTCAGTTAATGTGGGTCACAGACAAGATGGAGTAAGAGTCAAGGAAAAGGCTCCAAAGGAAGAAACCAAGGCCCACAGCCATTTCAGTAGCTCCAACAAAATGAAAAACTTACTTCCAGATACCTACCATGTAACAGATTTTTAAGTGCAAAAGACAAAAAACTCATTTCAAAGCTCAACATTTCATGCATCAGAACAGAGCAAACCTTTCAAAATTGAGCTGTCCAAAGTCTAATTCTGAACTTGATTTGCTACACAGAAATTGACAAGTCAAACTAGCTTTCAGATGAGACCTTAAAAGAACTGACCACTTTTGTATTCATCCCTAAGAAACTACAGAAGGTATACCACTCCAAGAATGCCATCAGGGAAGACAGGAGGTCAGTGTAGACTTGGAAACAAATCCAAATAATCTTAATGTTTCTAAAACAACTGTACACTTGGGTAAGAGATGTGGAGGCCCACAAAGGTTTCCTAAATGAGATATGAGCATGCTTTACCCAGCAGGGCTGCATTAGAGGGTTGCTTGACCACATGCATGATTACCAGGTGTTTGGAAGGGTCTGCACTTGGCTGTGCTAGGGGGAGGTCTTTTGCTCCACCCCTCGGCATTCCTTTAAAAAGCCCTTTAGAAGAGACAGAAGGAGCTAGTGGATAAGGATCCAGGCACTCCGGAGCTATCCTGTGTTTCTGTCTCTCTACGCTCTATATTTCTATCTAAATATTTCTCACTTCTCCCTCCTCAAGAGTACCCTTGTGTAAAGTGGGAGAGGGACTCCCACAGATGGCACCTAAACAGGAAGCAGCTGGACATGTCTGGTTCTGTAGTATAATGAAGATGGGAATATTCTCTTTTCAGCAGTGAAAGTAAAGTGGCTCAAAGATGCCCAAGTGAAAAATGAGGCCGCAGAGAATATATATCTTTGTCTAGGTTTCTTTCTTTTTCTCTCTCTTAATTTCTATCTATAAAAATTAGGAAAAAATTAGGGTAAGAAGGAAAAATATAAAGTAAAATATAGGAATATGGTGTAGGAATAAAGTTAAAGTAAGAGTAGAATGTAGGAATATAGTTTAAGAAAAAAATTAGCATAAGATAAGCAACAAGACAGAGGAACTATGTCCTTGATTTCCAACTATAGGGCTATGAACGCAAAATCCTGCGGAAGGATCAGAAAAATCTATCAAAGATGAGGGGGGAAAAAAACGGGCACAAAAAGATTCTTATGGAAGCTTTTGGCCTGGGGACAGCTTAGAATCAAGCACTGAAACACAGAGGAAAGATTTTCCCTGAGGCAGATGAGCACTGAGACACAGAGGAAAGAATTTTCCCTGAGGCAGATGCGGTTGAAATAAAACTTTTCACTCCGCTGATGCTGCCACTGTATGAGAACATTGAACCACCAGAACTAGTCTCCATTTGCCCATGAAGTCAAAAGTTTAGAGAACACAAGTTTTAGGGAAAACTTAATAATCTTTCCCTCAGAAACTGAAAGCTTTCTTGGGAAAAACTTAGCGATCTCTCTCTCTAAAAATCTAAAAGCTTTTCAGATCTTTTCTTTTTCAGATTTTTTTTTTCTCTCTTTTGGTAGGGGCAAAAAATTAAATTCACTTGGAAGAAACATCTATCAGAATGGGAGAATCACTCGTAACTGCTCTAGTGCAGCATTGCTAATTCTTACTTTTAGCATCGTATCTCCACTTCTAATCAGCAATTGGGAAGCAATTAGCAAGGGGCCAGGGTGCTAGCACCTCCGAGTTTAAGATTACTCATGGTAATCTTAAAAAGCAGTTCCTGGGATACTAGGTTCCTGCAGTTGTCAAGCAGCTTCCTCAAGTGTGGAGATGAGGCAGAGGAGGTGCGGGACCTGGGGAAAACTGCTAGCACAAAAAAGCAGGGTAAATTTGGCCATACAAACGAAGCCAGCGGGAACGGCAACAGTTGCCCATTAGACTGCAAGCCCTGAGTCCGTAGGTGGGGCTATGCAGCCAGCGTCCAGGGCTGCATAAACCCACCTCTCTGAAAAAGCTCTTTTCTGGGGGGGGGGAGGGGGAGCTTTCTGAAAAAGCTTTTAGTTCAAGTGCCTTCATTTTCTTTCACTAACCTGGTAAGGCGGAGGAACAAGCCCTGAGGGGTTTTTTGCTTCTGGCTAGAGCCTAGCAAGAAAGTGCAGGTAGAAAGCAGAAGCAAGGACAGCTTCCTCCAAGGTGGAGCTGCAACAGAGGCTGTGTGGGAACAGGGGAGGGGCTGCGGGCCTGGAGGAAACAGTGCAGGCTTTGAAATCTTCCCTACAAAGAGGGAAGCAGGGCTTGAGTTCCCAAAAATCTCTCTGAAAAGACTTTTAAGTACTTTCATTTTGTTTCACTGACCCAGAAAGGCAGGGGACCAAGCCCCGAGGGGTTTTTGCTGCTGGCACCAAAACGCCTGTCCACATGCACGTGGGTGAATGGGCATGGTCCACTCCAGGAAAAGTGCCAGCTCAGGGAGAACAGAAATCTCCTATGGTAAAAGAGTAAAACCTTGACTCAAAAACCTCTCGTGGTAAAAAGCAAAGGCATGAATACAGACCATGTTAACGTAAGTTTTCTCCCAGACCTGAAAGGCAGTCTGGGAAATGTAGTATATAACATTACAGAGAAACAATATAAAGTCAGTATGGGGAAATGTAGTTTTTCAGCTCAAAATAACGATACTGCCCCCAAACTGGGTTTTTCAGCTCAAAATGCAGTTTCTTTTCCAAACAATGTTAGAAAGCTTAGGCTTACCTTCTGAGTACTAAGCACAGGTGAACAGCTTGCCTCTAAGGAGATAATTAAAATGCTAATGCCATTTGTCAACAAGCTACTTTGAAATCTTTTAGAAAACAAGGGAATATAGTCCTTACACTGGGAAATTGCTTCTGGTGTGGAAACAAAAAACAAAAAACCTTTGGGATTGAGTTGTGCTTAAGATAGAAGAAAGAAACATTGGCATCATTAAAAGAACTCATGGTAATCTTAAAAAGCAGCTTTAAAAAAATTAAGAGGGGGCTGGAGAGATGGCTCAGAGGTTAAGAGCACTGACTCTTCTTCCAGAGGTCTTGAGTTCAATTCCCAGCAGCCACATGGTGGCTCACAACCATCTGTAATGAGATCTGGCGCCCTCTTCTGGCCTGCAGTCATATATGCTCTATACATAATAAAATAAATCTTAAAAAAAAATCACAAAGAGGGCATTTTACTCTCAGTCAGGCTTAGATGAATTAGGCTCTAACTTCAAACTCTCAAGAAAAATTGGCATCATTAAAATAATTCATGGTAATCTTAAAAAGCAGCTAGCAGTCTTCTAGAAGTTTCCACTCGTTTGTTTAGAAATGGGTGGTCCTCCCACAAAGGAGTAAGCCTCCCACAATCAAGTTTGTAAAAGTGTCTTTATAATTAGCATCGGTTTTGTTTACTTGAGTGGATACTTTGAAATGACTGTTTTCTCCTGGGAATCAAAATAGTCTCTTGAAAGTTTTATTGAACATCTGTTAGGAGAGTTTTGATCTAGGAAAAGGGCTTGGTGCAGCTGAGACTGCTGGAATCACCTTAGACCCATTCCAAAAAGGATATTCCATTTTTATTATCCTCTATGGGGAGGTATGGCAGCTAAGGAGATTGACGTGGATGTTTGCAAGCTCAGTAGGGACCCAGACCAGAGCTGAGTTAAGCTCTGTACTCCCCCCACCCCTCACCAGAGGCTGATAGTCAAAGACGGGCAACTTTCTTCTTGATAGCTTCCAACCTAAGCCAGAGTATGCTTGATGGAATGTGTCTTCATGACAAGTAAGATCAATCAAGGACTTAAGACAGGCCTGGGGGCCTTTTTTGTATCACGAAGGGGTAACTGTGTAGGCCCACAAAGGTTTCCTAGTGAGATCTGAGCTTGCTTTACCAAGCAGGGCTGCATAAGGAGATGGACTTACCACAAGGGTGGTTACCAGCTGTTTGGGTCTGCACTTGGCTGTGCTGGGGTGGAGGTGGGGGGGTCTTTTGCTCCAACCCTTGGCATTTCTTTAAAAAGCCCTTTAGAAGAGACAGAAGGGGCTGATGGATAAGGATCCAGGCCCTCCCGAGCTATCTATCCTGTGTTTCTGTCTCTCACCCCTCTCTGTTTCTATCTTAAATGTTTCTCACTTCTCCCTCCTCAAGAGTACCTTGGAGTAGAAGTGAAAGCAGGACTCCCACAGTGACACTAACCTATACTGACTCACAGAGAACCAAGTTAGTTAGGAAGAACTGGTGGCAAGCATCTGGAATGTGTGTAAAATCCAAGACAAGTAAATACCACTTTAAGGCAAAAATAAACTGATTTGAGAACTCTTCATTTAAATGTCTAAAGACAATAAACCAAGACTTTGCTACTAATGCATCACCAGTAACGTGAGAAACATGAAACTGAGGTCCGAGGGCAAATCACTGAGGTGACATAGCTCCTGAGAAGGGGCTGACAGATTACAGGAAGAAGAAAAGTGGGCTTTATGACAATCCTTGAAGTAAACTACGTTTTACCGTGATCAAAAACTCATTAAAGCCTATATAAAGGACTGGGGGTAAAAAGCTTGTCTGGAAAGCACAAGTCTTGATTTTGATACTCAGAACCCACATATCAAACTGGCCAGTCTCAGTAGCAGAGAGGTAGAGGCAGAGTCCATTTCCAGGAAAAGATAGATGGATCCTGAGGAATAACAATTGTGTACACAAATGTGGAAGGACACATAAAACATACACAACTGACTGAAAATGTAAGTAAAGAAATTCTATTGACAATGTCTCCCATGACTCTAGCCTACTTGGAATGAAAGTGATAGATACCACCACACTCTAGACTCCAGTGTGTTCCTCACTATGCTATATCTGAGTTGAACTGAGAGCCACAAGCCAGAGTGTCAGACCTTCCAGTTTGTTGGGGACACAGAACAGTTATTTGGGAGAAAAGATCTTAAATGACACGCTTCCTAACTCCACCCTCAGCATCAAGAAAACAAGTCCATGCATACACTGAAGCCATGTACACTAACTAATGGTTATGTTTTATGCACTCAAAATGCCTAAGATGCCAGGTAGGGGCAACAGGGCAGCATTCTTTAAGTTGGCTAACCTAAGTCCTGGTTATGTATAAATTCTTCATCTCAATGTCTAAGTACTCAAAGCTTTGTCTCGTTTTGTTTCCAAATACACAGAGAGCTGTCTCACTCTCTGCTTGGCTTGACTCATTCTATAGAATGTCAGTCATAAAGAGTGTTTCTTCTATTAAGAGAGAAGCAGATTTCACATACTATGTCCTGCTGTTAGGTTCTAGGGACAAAAGTTGGCACACTTTTTGGCATAAGTTAATTATAACATGAATTCTCATGGTCTGAACACAAGGGCTTGAGTGCAGCGTGGAATGCCTTTTAATGAGCCCATTGACACAATTAAAATACCAACCTGCTGTGGGATGTCTTTCTGTATGCTGTGAATGTATTGCTCTGATTGGTTGATAAATAAAGCCATTGGCCTATGGCAAGGCAGCTGAGAGGCAGATGGAAATCCAAGCAGACAGACAGGAAGAAGAAACGAGAGGAGATACCACCAGCCTGCTGCCCAAGGAACAACATGCCAGCAGATCAATAAAGCCATGGAACACGTGACAAAAAACAGATTAATAGAAAGCAAGAAGCTCAAACCATAGGCCATCCAGTTCATAATTAATATAAGCCTCTGTGTTTACTTCGGTTTGAGTGGCTGAGGGACTAGGTGGAACACAGTAAAACTTCTAGGTACACCGACCACCTTCCATTTAAACTTAATATAGTAGCTTTCCAGAGGAACTCATTCCCCAAAACTATATCTACTTGTCAAGTGTACCCTGCATGTATGCATCATTATAATCTGTCAGTTTTGATGAACAGAATATAAATAAGTTAACTCTTGGCTGCTAATTTTCTTATTGCAAAATACCATTTTCTGCTCACTACACAGAATATGACCAATCATCATAAATACTTTATTTGTGGCTACCAGTTATTTTTACAGAGAATATTTAATAAACAGAATTCATTAATTTGTAAGACTGTACATTAAATTAAAATATAATCCACCCCTACATCAAAAATTATCTAAGTTGACCTCAAGATAAAAAAACTCTCTAAAGTTTATATACATTATAAGTAGCAAAAATAATAATAAAGGAAGAAATTAGAAAACAGCCATCAAATGCAGACATCTAGAAGAATTCTCCAACATCTGCTCTCTTATCTCGACATTTGCTTCGAGCTTTTGTTCGAGCTTTGAAAGCTGCAGAGTTATATAAATGCTGAAATGAAAAAGAAAAATATACATGGATCAGTAAGACAAGATATTCTTATAAACAAACAAACTAGGAGTAAGAGATAAAAATCACAAAGGAACTAGAGAAGTAACAGGTGTACATCATTCTGGGTCGTAATCAAGTAAGTACATTAAAATTCTGTTACAAAAAAAAAAAAAAAACAAAAAACCCACCCTTTCAAAACGAGAAATCTTCATGGTCTTGAGTGTTGCAGCATCAAGCATCACAGGGGGTCCAAGTTCAAATACATTTCGAAGGAATTCATTTGTCTAGAATAAACAGAAATGAGGTAAAGTCCAAGTATCTATTTTATTACATAACAGTGAATTGACTACAGAGGTTATGATATGGTTTTCTGTAAATAAGAAGTGGAGTTGTCTGTTTTCTGAGTATGAAAGCAAAGTATTTTTTTTCTAATACCCTAAACCCTAGGAAACAACATGAAGCTGTGTGTTTCAGAAAGCACCAGTTATGTTCCAGCAGACTTTTACTGCTTCCTAATGCCTGCATACATCCTGGACATTCAGCTAACTTCAAAAGTTAGGCCAGTCCCATGACTCCACCCAGATCCTCAATTAAAAGCAAGGATATCACTCACCTGCAAGTGGTACTGCATCCCTGATCCAAGAACCTCCTTAAAGGTGTCATAGGTATGTTTTTTGACCCAGCTATCAATATACATGCGTTCAGGACCAAACTTAACAGTTTCTGTTGGAAAATCCCGTTCCTATACAACAGAAGAGCCAAAATTATCACACCCTGAAATGGCCCAAACACAATTTCTATGCTAAAAAATACTGAGATAAAGGGAACAGTATTTGGAACTGATACTTAAGATGTGGTCAGGCTAGTAACTACTGTCCCAAGTGAGTGGGAACCCTTGGAACTGTATAAACTTGATGATGACTAAGTTATTAGTAACAGAGTCACACAGTTTGAGTATCATAAAACTTCAGAAGCACTTACAAAATGTTAAAAGGTCAAGTGTCTGTACTGGTCTAGGATGGGAGAAGAGGCTGCTGAACAGAAAGAAATGGCACAAGGTAAGGAGTGAACTGAGTGAACTGATGGGCAGCTCGAATCTGGGGCGAGAAGTGAAGATAAACAGGTTAGCAGATCATGTAAGAGGAGAAGACACAATCAGGAGTTCCAAGAAACCTCAGCTGGGTTTATTAAGAAAATGAAGCCAGGTGCAGCAATGTACACCTAGAATCCCAGGAAGGCCAAGGCAAGAAGACCTGGAGCTCAGTTGCATCCTGGGTAAAATATAAGGAAGGAGAGGAGAGAAGAGGAGAAGGAGGGAGGGGGGGAGAGAGAGAGTGTGTGTGTAGCAGGTGACTGTAGGATTTAAGAGACAGAGTAATTCTGCCAGAACATCATTTCTGAAGTAAAGCCAGGGAACCGTAGCCCAAGAGAAATAAATGGACATCACAGGATAAGAAGAACATACAGATGAACATAAGATTTCCCTACAGATAACAAAGCCACCCAATATGGCATCAGAATGTGGAAAAACAAAACAAAAACCCTGCTGGTTAATTCTTGGAAGAATCCTAAGAGCACAAGAACAAAGCAGCCACCTGTCACAGGATCATGAACACTCCACACCTACTTAGTCCCTTCTCTCTCTAAGCAGGTAAGTCAAGGGAAACTGGAGGAAGAACATGAATGCCATCTGGCCTTACATGACTTGTCATTTTAGCAATTAGCCTCTTTGAATCTATTTTGTGACCTACAAAATGAAGACACCTTTAAGTCAGTCTTTATAGGTGTAAGAGAAAGCATGTCTATGAAGTGACACCCTGGAAATCAAAACTAGTGACACTATTCTTTAAACTGTTAAGATATCAGCGTTTACTTCTATAACTCACTTTTCTCTAACCTTAGCCTCTTCTCCTTCCTAACAATAGCTGAGCCCCTCTGCTTCATACAATTCTAATCCTTCCTTCCCTTTCTCCTTTCCCTCACTCCTCTGTTTGTGTGTGCACACATGTGCCAGTGTGTATACAGAGGCCAGAGGGCACCAACGTAAGTCCTCACCTTACCTCCCACCTTGCTTGAGATCAGGATTTCTCATTTGTTGTACGCTACTGTATAAAGCAGGTTGGCTGGCCCATAGCTTCCAGAGACTCTCCCATCTCACTGTAGGAGCACTGGGACCACAGGCATTTGCTACATGGGTTTTGAGGATTCGAACACAGGTCCTCAGGTCCTCACATTTAACGTCGCAGCAGATGCTTTTACCAACTAAGCCATCGCACTAAGCCTCATTTTTATTTTTACTAGCTATTCCCATATTTTCACTAGTAGCTACAAGAAAACACAAAACAAAACTACAAGCTGTTCCTACCACTCCAGCTGCCACCTCTGCCTGCCTTCCCACCGTAGCCATGCCTGTTAAAGACACTGGGGACACATCTCCTGTTCACCCTCACCTTCCAGCCACTCTGACCGGCCTTCCTCCCAGTGCTTCTTGGTCTAGCTTACACTTCTCATAGACATATCAAGTTGGCTGACTCTTGACTATGTATCTGTTCTCAACACCAGCCCTACAGACAATAACCGGAGACTTTTACCAAGAAAAACCTTATTCGTCAACCCAAACCAGTCAGGCTTGGCCTTCTCCAAGAGACTGCCCTCATCCATCCTAGCTCATTTCAGTCAAGCACACTAAACCCCGAGGTTTCTACATCAGCTGACCACTGGGTGGTTTAGTGACCCCAGGAAGATCCTAGGTTTTGTTACATTGGATTTCTAGCACCTGGTCTTCCCAGAGATGGCAGAACCTCAAGAGGCAGACAGCAACTTTATCATGTCCCCAGAACTCACCGTCTGGTGTGAGGTGGAAAGTAAAGTGCCACCTTCACCACCACAGGTGTCTTTTCTCCAGCGTGGTATTATTATGCTACTCAGACTTTCACATACGCTAAGGACGGACTCTACCAAACACTGTCCTCAGTCCTCTTTAAACCTACATAAAGTGCTTTTGCTTTCCAAGAATACTTCCCTTCCACTATTAAAACCCTACTCTGGGGTTTGAATGAGGAAATTCTTTTGAGTGAAATTGAAAACAAAGCAACAAAATGACACAGGTGTGAAGTTCAGCCCGAAACAACCTCATTTCAGAGTGAGCTGCTAACTGTCCTGGCACCATAGAAGCCTACCTCCACAGCCCGCAGGACATCTCTGAAGACGGAACGCTGCTTCCTCTTGTCCACTTTGGCACGGTGCTTATTGCCATCTGTAGCCAGAGCCCGGAGCATCTGGGTCAAAGACTCCATGTCTTCATAAAAAAAGTCCTGACCAAGGAAAGATTTCGTTTCATAAATTTCTCTTTTACAACATCTTCTAGAATTAACAAATATCCTACCTCTGAAACATAAGTTATATAAAGCAACAATTTTGCTAATCATGGAGATTTGTATATGTGCAGACTAATTTTAATATCTGCACATATAAATAGGCAGATATTACATAAAAATTCAACTCCAAGACATACTACTGCAAAACAGCATTTTCCTCCCAAGTATAAACCAGCTGCCTTAGAGAAATACGTGCTGGGCTGTGCACAGGACCTGGGCTTTCAAAGTTCAGGGATACAGATGTGAGTGCCAACAGCATCTGTTCTGACTACATGGTCACAGACAACCGCCTCTCCAAAATATAACCACCTTTAGTTTAGAGGTGCAGTTAGGCAGCAGTCGTTTTTCAGACAATGTGATTTCTATTCACGGCCACTGTCTCAAATAAGCAGCAAGACACAGCAAGAAATAAGATTCAGGGCTGGAATTGGCTCAGTCAGAGGTTAAGAGCACTGACTGCTCTCCCAGAGGTCCTGAGTTCAATTCCCAGCAACCACATGGTGGCTCACAACCATCTGTAATCAGATCTGGTGCCCTCTTCTGGCCTGCAGTCATACATGCTATATACATAATAAATAAATAAATCTTTAAAAAAAAAAAAAGAAAGAAGATTCAATAATTAAATTTAAAGCAAGAAGCTACTTTAATCCCTTGGGGGTTGGACTGAGGGGAAGTTAAGAGCTTCTTTGCTCACCTGGGGATACATTTATGATGTTCTTTATTTGGGGTGTTTTCATTTCTGCACTCTATTTTACAATCACATTAGAAACATTTACAAGATGATTCAACTCACTGAGTACCAAGACTTGAGCAGGCAGTTATTATAAAAATAAGGTCAGGTGAGCAACCACAAGTTCTAGTTGTTCTGTTATTTATGTTTCCAACAGGTGCAATCATTTAAATATTAAACCTATTAAAATAAGCAGTTCTGATTCTGGGTGGATATATAAAAAAAATCATTTTTTACTGTCTGAAATGTAAAATGATACACTACTGGTAGAAAACAAACTTGAAATCAATGTGATAGTTTTGCTTTTAATCTTTTAATCTGTCAATCTGATTTTAGTGCTGGTATTTCAGATTATCTTTAACTCTGCCAACAAATTTCCTCCAATGCTCTAATCAACCTATGCCTCTTACATACCACACCCACCTATAAAATATATATATAACTAGGTCAGACCAAAGTTATACTACCTTTATATTTAAATCCCAAGAAATTTGATTGTATCCTAAGGTGATACCAATTTACTTCTAAGAAGCATATAGTTCAAGAACTTCTAATTTTCCACCCAAAATTTTACCAACTTGATCTCTTACTTTTTAAAGAATGTATGGAGACTTTTTCAAATCTATACAAACAAACCAAAAAATTTAAGGAATCCAATACATTATCTTAATTGGATCCAAGAACTGCAACTCATTGCCAGTGGTTCTCAAACTGTGAAGACTGCACCTCCAAGGGACACTGGCTTTGGGTTTTCACATTAGATATCACTGAATAACCTACAGCACACTAGAAGCCCTTAGTGCACACATAACAAACCTTATCAGCTCTCATCACCAGCAGTGCTGAGGCTAAGAAACCCCAGTACAATCTGTGCAATGGGAAAAACTCAATCTAAGGACAGCTGGTCAATCACTACGCTCAAGACAAGACTAAACCTTGGAAATACAAATGCCTAACACGAAGTCTCCACAGTGTGTGAGCATTAAAAAAAGAAAATGCAATACATGCCCCAAAGGCATCCAACCAACAGCATCAAAAGCTACTTCTTCTAGCTCAGGCTGTAATAAACTGTACACCCCAAATGAACACATAATGGACTCTGGAGATACAAACAAGTCAGTCATCATCTATACAACAGTCCTCATCAGAACTGCAAATGTTCTATCTGTACCCTAACTTCTAAGAAATAAATAAATACATCTATACAATGGTTCTAACAAACACTGCCCAATAAATTCTGAAGCACGAATTATTACATATCAATATTCTAGCTTTAGAGGAATTTAGATAGAATTCACATTTGGTTAAAAAGAAAAAATGGAAGCAGTTAATACCACTCACATCTGACAGACTTATAAAGATCTATATATATAATATATCTATTAATCTGTAATGGCCCTTTCTATTCTTAAAGAGCCTGTTCAGTCTAACATAATCTAAATACTACAGAAAAGTGGCCAATTAATAGCTATCATAAAATACTCTATTTCAAAAGGTGAATGGAATTAGGGCAAAATGAAATAATAAGAACTTCTTGAATAGAGTAGGCATAGGGCAAAAGTTTACTACCAGCAACGGGAACTCCTAACTACTAGTGTTCGGGTATGAAAATCACATCAACACTGACTGTAAAAATGAAGCCAGCCCAGGCTCCAGACAGCTGCCTAAATTTTCCCAGATAAAAAAAAAAAAAAACATTGCCTGGTATAGTTTAATGGCAAACACCTGTCTAGCATGCACAGGTCCCTGGGCTTGACCCCTTATACCAAAGGAAAGAGAAGAGGGAAGATCATCCAGGAAACCTACATTAGGGCTTGACCCCTTATACCAAAGGAAAGAGAAGAGGGAAGATCATCCAGGAAACCTACATTAAAACAGAATTTGATCCCTCCTCAACTCTCCCAAGAGCTAAGCATGATGTCTAGAATGGTTCTACCTGGCTCTACCGGAGCACAAATACTATACTACTTTAACCCCCACTGAGGCAGAACACTTTTGTCAAGGAATAATGGGTCAGACTCCTACCTACAAAGGCAAGGAAGAATGGCGAGCTGTTTTTCCCAAGGAGAGTGCCTAAGGTTGATCAGACTTAGCCCCAAGGAGCTTTTAGTCGCTGATTTAACCTTCTGTCTCATTCCGAGTTGTAGCATCTCCACTGTCAGGTCAGGTGGAGATGAGCAGGGAAAACTGGGGAATCCTACAAGCTGACCTACTTCAGTGCTGTATGATTTGACCAGACCATCACACACCTCTGCTATTTTGTTACCTAGTTCTTAAGGCTACTAGCAGACGCTGCTGGAAAGAAACCAATCTCAATCCAATCAACATTTAATACTAAAGGCTACCTACCATTTACCCTGAACCACTTACACAACTGTATGACATACTCACCATTTTTCCCATTTAAAGATGAGCACACTGAGGAACAGAAGCTATCCAACATCAACTAGCAAGGGCGGCAGGGAGGTGTGCCCTGGCAGCATGGCTCCAGAGTCCATGCTACCCACACAGACAAAGAGCAAGCACACAGTAAGATAGGAAGGCACTCAAAGGAGTAATAATTCCTAATTTCAACTTTTAAACAGTCACAAAATCTAACCAACTCATTCTTCAAAATCTAGTGAAGCCAGTTCCTTAGAACCTGTTTCCACGGTTCAAGCATAATCATCACTGTATAATTTCCAGATGAATAATACCATAGAACAATTATGTTAGCAAAAGGTTCTGAATAATTAAATTCTACCCATTTGCTCTGCTCTAAGAATTATTTTAACTCTGCCTATGCAACTCATCAACCTGTTTTTAACTAACTTTTTTTGCAGTACTGGGATGTTGCTCACACTAAGCAACTCCTATACCACAAAGCTGTGCCCATAGCCTTGATTTATTTAACTATAACTATAACTACCCACATGTAAAAAGCTTATTAAATTTCCTTGTTCACTGACAAGTACTTACATCATACCAAACACATCCAGTCAGAGAACAAGTCACACCTCGGTGGTACATGACATTTACAAAATTTAAACAAGTAACGTGGAATTTAAACTTTAGCTGCATTACTCCACTTTTAAGGTGTATTTCAGAGGGAGTTAAGGACACTGCCATTTCTAGTCAGTAGAGGGATGCGCCTCGTTAATTAGCTCAGTAAACTGAAACTGCTCAATTTGAGTTCAGTTTCTCACATAAGCAAAGTCCTGAGCTGCTCCTAGGTTTAGTTCACTTTCATTCCCAGCTGCTACCTTCCTAATGAAGGGGAGGGAAGGGGCTACCACCATGTGCGTTCAGTACCAGTTAGTGAGTAAAGGAGGCTTTGAGACAGGAGTTCTCTGCGTAGCCCTGGCTGGCACTGAAGAGACCCACCTTCTCTGCCTCCCTAGTGCTGGTATCAAAGGTTGTGTGCCATGATGCCTGGCTCAAGGCCATGAATTTGAAGGAGAAAAAAGGAATACATGGGAGGATCGGGAGGGAGGAAAGGGACGGAAGAAATGTTGTAATTATAATTGCAAAAAGAAACGTTTTTAAAAGCATCTATTAAATAACTCAAGGTTAGAAATAACATCTAGGGGTTGGGGATTTAGCTCAGTGGTAGAGCACTTGCCTAGCAAGCGCAAGGCCCTGGGTTTGGTCCTCAGCTCCAAAAAGAAAAGAAAAAAGAAATAACATCTATTTAGTTACTAATTTCCCACAAATCTGAGCTTCCTTACTGAATTTCTCTTCATTTATTGTTATGACAGTAAGTACCTACAGATTGTAATAGGCTAAATGCTATTCCTCAATTTTATTTTATTTCAACTTTTCCCTTTACTTTTATGTGCATGAGTGTTTACCTCCATGTATGTCTGTGCCCCACGGGTACCTGGTGTCCACAGGAGCCAGAAGAGCACATGGATTCCCTAAGACTGGAGTTACGGAAGGTAGTATACAGGTGCTGGGAATCAAACTCAGATCCTCTGAAAGAAGTGCTCTTGACCTCCGAAGCCGTCCCTCCAGCCTGTCCCTCAACTTGAAATGCCAGCACATCATATGAATTAATATCTAGGAACAAACTCACCTTTCCAGTGGCAATACAGATTATGAACTAGGGTTATCAAATACCTCAGAAAGTCAAGAAAAAAGGCTTCTACAACATGGGACTTTCTGGGACAAAGTCTAACACAGTGCCAGTCTCAAGGCCAACTGGGACAGCTAGTCATCTATTTCACATTTAAATACCCTAGAGGATCCAGCCACAGAAATGAACATCTGCAAGTGGACAGTGGGTAGGACACAAGTAACAATGGCAGAATCTATCTCAGCCCAAATCTATGCTGACTGGGATTTCACCCATTTGTCTTTTATTATAAAGCATCACATGCCAGGAGTACTGTTAATAAATCAAGTATTTGTGAAGAGCACACCTTTCCCTAATTTCAGTTTTACAGATAGCAAGTAAGTTTCTACCAACCCTACCAGGTTATACTCTCAAAACCAATCAATCACAAGTTCTCAGGTAACCAGCCTATAAATTTATCATCCAATTCCCAGTTGTGACAGTGACAATGGAGGAATGGTCTGCATGCATTCCTCCTGCCCATCAGATACTCACACTATCCATTCCTCTGGCCAACTCAAACAGAAGTGCCAAAGATTCGCCAGCGGCAATTCTCATGTTTACATCATCACAAGAAAGGAGGCTTGGAAGTTTATGGAAATGCCTAGAAAATAGTCATTATTTTATGAGTACAACCAGTTACGTCACTTAAATGGTTTGTTTGTTTTTAATTAAAAAATGAAACTAAAAGGTGGTTGGAAAACTGGTTCAGTCATTTAAGAGCACTTGCTGCTACTTTTGCAGAGGACTCAAATTTGGGTCCCAGCACACACTTCAGGCAACTCACAACTGATTTAACTCCAGTTCCAGGGCATCTGACAAGCCTCTGCTGGCCTCTGTGGACACCGGTACTCACAGGATAAACATACATGCACGAGCCCACATAAAATAAAAATACATAAATCTTTTTTAAACATGACACTAGGGTTGTAGAGCATTCACAGCACTGGCTGCTCTTCCAGGGGACCCAGGTTCATCCCATGCACCTACATGATGACACTCACCATCTCCAGTTCTAGGGAACCCAAAGCCCTCCTCTGGCCTCCAGGGAGACTGCACTCATGTGGTATACAGACATACATGCAGACAGCCATACACGTAAAATAATTTTAAAAAGAAAAATACATACAATTCTAGTTTTTTCTTCACTTCACTGACTGGGCATATGGTCAGTAATAAGGTCCATGCCAGAAGGGAGCTGATGTGAAGCCCTGTGTTAGGGCTGCTGCAGACAACATTAGCATCTTTCTCTTTAAGATAGGACTTGGTGAAGATAGCTTCCAAGCATTCCAAAGTTGAATACAGCTCCTAATAGAGAAGAATGTGAAGTAAGACTAGAACTCTCTTCAATCAAAGGTAACAGTACTAACTGGAATTAAAGATTACTCTGCTTACAGTGATGTCATCCGTGGCAATAAAACAGCAAACCCCAAAGCAAGTTGCACACTGGGAAATAAAAGAGGAAAATAGACATTAATGACTGTTACATTAATATATCTGTTTTTAAAACTCAATGTGAAAGTTTCTCTACTACTTCCCTGCACTAGGTCCCACACATGGTAGCAGGAGACTGGGAAAGAAAGAAGAGTGGACTAATGTCGGGACAAAAGGGATTTAGTCCAAGCTCTGCTATCAACTTTGCAAGACAACTTTAGGAAAGTGTCTGTTCCTCTTGGGTCTTCCTCCTTTACCAATTCATGAAACTAGAGGGAACAGTGCACACAGATCAGCTTCCAGCTTCCATGAAGCACAAAGCAGAAATCTAGTAAAGTTCAAGTAATTCTCACAACTGGAGAACTGAAGGCATGCTCAACCAACCCCAAGACAGACTAAGTACCTCACAGGCCAGACCTCACAGAGGCCTCTATTTACCCAAATGTGGCTTTTCCTGAGGACATAACCTAGCACACATTAGTGTCTAAACTATTTACGCTCCAGTCAGTTATCCCATTACTATCCCAGTAATCCAATATCTGTGTACGGTAAGGTAAAGAGGTAAAGCAATTGCTCAAATGGAACACTCTGGAGCATGAAAGAAAATGTCATAAACTGCTCAGTTTAAGACAAATGAGAGTAAGATATTAATTAACCCTATTACTTATAGCTGGTTGTCATGTCTGGATAGATCAGTAAATTTTCCATACTTACAGTTTGCCTAGCCTGGATACTAGCTGTTCCATCACAAATGATTTTTTTTAGGATTGGTCCAAGAGTCTTTAAAATCTCTTCACTCTCAAATCCAGGGCCCAACTGAACACAAAGAACAGATGCCAGTGCTGCAGCTGCACGCTGCTCGTCACTCTTTCCTGGAGAGGAGCAGGGATGCAAGCAAGGCAGAGTTTATTGCAGCAGTTTCATCAAGACAGCAGTCTTACAAAAAGTTCAATTATAAGGTAGCATCTCTATTTATGAAACCCATACTGTGCTTCAGGCTTATGCTAGAAACAGACAGGCCTCACTCAAATCCTTGATCAACACTTACTAGTCCTTTACTTTTCTGATTCTCCAAAGAGATTTCTAACTGGCATCCATCTTAAGGGAGTACTGTATTGACTGGCAAAGGCCTGTTCTTCGTGTCAATTCTGCCTTCGAATTCCTGAAGGTACTCACATGCATAGTGTTACAGCAGCCCTTAGTTTAACCCAAGCATTGCTTATTTATGGGCATGTGCAAGGTAACAAAATAAGGGACCAAGTAAAAGATTCTTTCTACATACAGATAAATGCAGATCATCTTTTAAAGAGGCATATGTACTAGAGGGTTTGGGTAAATACTGAACTTAAGTGGTTGTTATTATTATTATTATTATTTTGAGACAGGGTCTCACAATGTAGTTTGGGCTGGTCTATAACTTGCTATGTATATCAGGCCTGCCTCAAACTCAGAGACCCTCCTATTGTCTCTGTTAGGATTAAAGATATACACCACCTTGGCTGGCCTGAAAAAAGTTATTATCTAAGAAACTATAAAATATGTATATTGAAATGGGATTTTTAAAGCCACTTTTTAATCTAGATACCACTTTGGAAGAGGGTATCAATGTAATTTATACACTTTAAAAAGAAACTGCTATCCCAAACACAATTGGCTCTGCTTTCAACTAAAGCAGTCACACAGAATTAGAGCTACCTGACTACCTAGCCCTGTCCTTCCTTGTTCAGCAGGAGAGAACTGATAAAGAGCTGAAGTGATAAGCAAGCTTGCTTTCACCCTGAGGCAATATGAGACTAAAGGCTGCTCCTGAGGAGCCAACCAATTTGGCCTAACTGATTTATTGTTACTATGGGAAGAAGGGGGCTGGCACCAAGACACACCTGTGAAGGTCAGGGGACAATTTGGAGAGGTGACTCTTTCAACCCTATTTTGAGGCAGAGGCTTTCAGTTCTGTTACTCAGCTGCTCACATACACTCCCATTCCGTCTTCCATCATAGCAATGCACAAAGTAGAGATTTGAGCATTGCACCCAGTGTTTTACGTGGGTGCCAGGGACAAATTTGGGTCACTAGGACTTGCACAGCAATCACTTGACTACAGAGCTACCTCCCCAGGCCTCCACCTTGTTTTTCTGAGACAAGGTCTCTCCCTGGCCTGGAGCCTACTTTGAAGAGGATTCTTAAGGTGAACTCGGGTCCTCATTCATACTTGTACAGCAAACATCTTACCTACTATCTCTACAGCCCTTTCTTTCTCTTTATTCTTAGAAATATCATCTTTTACAACAGGAATTCCAGAATTCCTACTATACAGTTAGAGAACTACATATGCCAGGGACATCCTAAAAATGGTGTCATTTTAGTGTACAACTGTTGTTTTAAGTGCAGGGAAAATGAGCTGGACTCTTATACTTTCCCATGTTTAGAAAAATGAAGACGTCTTTTGAAAAATTTGAGGCTTTCAAAAATTCCTTCCTATGCAACCTGAGAATGGCAGTTACCTCTTCTGAGATAACAAAGAATGACAATCTATCCGTTTCTACTTTCAATTTGTTTATTAGCAAATGTGACTGCAAGAAGAGAGCCAATTCCTTATTCGCTCTGCACAGGTCTGGAATTACCTTTTTTCAGACAGCGCTCAATGCTATCAGTTAAAGTCATTCTTCTCTCCAGAACAAACTCATACAGCACTTTTGAAGACAGTGCATTTTTAACACCTTCAAGAGCTGCCTGTCTTGTCTTTGCACTGTTTAAAACATAATTGAAAAGAAGGAAGATCTGGTTAGGAGGGTGCTACAGACCAGTGGCCTTTGAAGACATCAGCTCTCTACTCCTGTCACCAGGCTCCAAGCATCTTTCAATAGCATGCCTGTCCCCGCTGCCATCTCAAATGACAAGCTTTTAGGTGCTCTCCCACAGCACTTCACTTTGTTGGTAACCACAGCTATACATGACTGTGCACTGGTCTGTAGTTTCAATGAGTGAGACATGCTCTTTTACATATTTTAGTACATTCACGCTATTTTAGTGCACTCTACCCCTGTAAGCCAAGCTCTTGTTATCTGTCCAGCCAGTCTCCAATTCCTGAGCTCAAATGAACTACTCACCTGTCAGCCTCCTCAAGTATTTGGGACCAGAGGCACAAACCACCATTCACAAACAAATTCATAATTTTTTAAACATTACATTAGTCTAGCACTCAGACCTACATCTTCTAGGCTTCCTATTTCCATCTAATTCTAGAGGTACCATCAAGAAAATTTACCATGACAGTTTTCACGACCGTAACAAATTTAGTACACAAGCAACCTAAAGCAATTTGTCATTTTTAGTTAAAGATCAACTTTTAAATACAACAAATCAATTTCAATCACACACACACACATAAAATGCTAGAACAATCATAACACCACATTAAAAGGTCAAAGCAACATTACATCATCCAAAGGAAACAAATCAAGCTTCAGAAAAACATACTGCTGTGTCAGAGGTGCACAAATTAAAGTAACCAATTAGAATCACCCAGAATGGAAAGCTTTAACATCTCTTACCTCTTATCAAGGGTTAGGTCAATTAATCCCTTCAATTTGTACTCTAAGTCTTCTTGAGTTCCTTCCTCATCAAGGACTTCTGGTCCTAGGGAATAGAAAGCAACACTGTGACCTAAGAAGGGAAAAAGCAGGTTGGGAAGAGGGACACCACAGCTCACACATCCCCCACCTACACTATCTTTGCATGGCAAGTCCCAAGTTTACATTGGAAACTCCTCCTACCATCCTCGGCGAAACTGGAAGGGTCGCTGTAGCCACTGCAGTGACTCATTGTTTCGATGGACGCGTCTTCATCACTGAAAGGCTGAACAGTCCGATGTGGGCCACCTATTAGGTAAGAAGAAGGAGACAGATCGGTTTTTTTTCATCTTTTTTTTTCTTTGATATATATGCAAATATTTGACTTGGGATTTCTAAAGCTTACTCAAAAGCTATCCAGTCATAAAGTCAAACTTTTAGTAATTATATTGCAAAAGAATATTCGTAATATTCTTAAAACACACTGATTCACCTAATCTGTACTTCAGAAGGCCAGCTTATTTTAAAGTTGCTTCACATTATGAAACAACTTTAGAAATGTTATCATCTAACAAAACCTGATAAGATGAAAATTACTTCCCAAACTACTTCAAATAATGAACAAAATGAAAACAGATTAGAGGATCATACAGCAATTATATTTCCTAATAAGAATAACTAGTTTTAGTAAACATTAACTGTTAAGTAAATGGCCTCTTGTTCAGAGGTGTCTTATTTTAAAGACAAGTACAGTTGAAAAGAGGCAGTTTTAAAGGTAACAAGAGAGAAGCAGAAGTTTTGGATTTGATATTACAAAAAAAATAAATAAATAAAACAGTTTCTCCTCTCCCTCCGCCCTTTAAGTCAGGGTCCCACTGTGTGGCCTGGGCTGCATTAGAGCTCACTATACAGGCAAGGCTGGCCTTAAATTCACAGCAATCCTCCCACTTCAGCCTCCTGAGTGCTGGGATTACTAGCATGAGAAGTGAGGCATCATTTAAGGTAAAATACATGGTGGGGAATAAGGCATGTGTTGTATGTTTTATAAGCTGTAGATGTCAGTCTTGGGTGTCCATCCTCAGCTTACACCTTGTTTGCGACAGGGCCTCAATTTTGACATTTAGACAGTATGTACAGCAGGTTCGCTGGACTACAAGCTTCTGGTGGATTCTCCACCTCCATCTCTCCATAGGAGCACTAAGATGACTGATGTGTACTGCCATCCTGGCTTTACAAGGGCTCAAGGATTTGAACTCAAATCTCATGTCTCCACAGTTGTTTACCCACCAACCCATCTGCCTGTTAAATAAGTTAACTTTAAAAGAAAGGAACGAAAGCTGTGGTTGCATACACCTTTAATTCTATTACTTGGAAGACAAAGGAAGAGGCAAAGTTCTCTGAGTCTGAGGCTAGCCTGGTCTATATACGGGCGGTTCCAGGCCAGCCATGGTAATACAGTGAGACTCTGTCTCAATGCTCAAATAAAAGATTTCAACCATATCCAAGAGTTTAAAAATACCAATGCTACTACCAAAGAAAAGAAAAAAGAAATTTAACTAACATTATTTTCAACTTCATTAAAGAAAAAAATTCATAATTTGGGGTTCTCACATTAACTTAAAAATTATGAAATCATGAATTTTTTAATTACTTTGAGTCCTGAGTTAAAATGTGTCTCAAATCCTGACCATAAAGTTTCCAGAGTAGCCTGATTTACCTGAATTCAATTTCCTTATATTAGTAAAATCAAAGACAACATCAAATATGAAGTCCCTATAATACTGGGTGTTTTTTAATAGTAAGAGTACACTCCACAAGAAAACTGCCAGGATTCCCACCTAGGCAGAGTACAGAAAAATGAACAGAAACTAGACAACAGAGGTTCTTTTCATTCACTCTCCCACTTACCTAACCTCTTTTTGATAGCTATTATGTACAGATTTTACCTACTTACTTTTATGTAAACTAATTAATGTACATCTATTTGCAACCGTACAGAAATATATTTCAATACTAAGCATACCACCACACAATCATATCACTCGGGAATGTAGCAGGTACCGTGTTCTATACTCCAAATTTAGGAATGCTCTGACAAAGTAAGATGTCATTAAGTATCATGATTATGCAATCATCTTACTACAAATGATACACTGATCTAAGTCTATCCTCTAATGTATACAATCTTTCTTTGCCAATCAATTCCCAACAAAGACTGGAGGAAAAGGGAAAGTATCAGAAGTCCATAAGAAGTATATTTGGTTATTAATTATATCATAACAAGCTGTAAGCAAATATAGATTAGTGGGCATTATATGTGATTGCTTATCTGTAGAGCTGCAATTTCTTCTGAAATATTTTAACATATAATTATTTGGTTTTTTTTTTAGAGACAGGATTTCTTCTGTGTAACTGTACTGGCTGTACTGGAACTCACTCTGTAGACCAGGCTGGCCTTGAACTCTGAAATCTGCCTATCTCTGCATGCACCACCACCTGACCTATTAACACTTCTATATACACATAATCATTATTAATACTTAACCTTAGATGTAAAACAAATTCCTCATAAAGAAAAAATCAAGTTTCTATATTTTTCTTTAAAACATCTAGCATTTGTTATCTTACTTTTATTTATTTGTTAACTTGCTGGTTTCTTCAGTTTTTGGTAAGCCAATCACTATAGAACCCAGACTAGCCTTCAACTCCTGCCTGTTGCTACCACCCCAGCCTCTCAAATCCTAGGATTAATGGGTGTTACATTTATTTTTTAAATCCTCTAAAATTTTAAGCCTGTTAAAGAGTTGGGTTAAATTGCTTTTAAATAAGGGTTGCTTTTTTTGAAACCAATGCAGAGAAGTTAGCAAAATTGTAAATGAACAAGCGACCTTGAAATCTGCTTGCCTGATGCCAAAGCAGCTTGAATCAAGTAAGAAAGCAGAGAATAGGTGAAGCAAAGACGCCAAAAGTTCTTAACCACAACCACAGTGCTGAGGAGAAAAATAAACACCGGCCTATTTCTGGATCTTTCCTCATGACAAATTATGCTAACAGCTGAGTATATTCTGAATAATCTTACCATATTTACATACAAGCCAATGTCATTTTAAAAGTGTTCGTATTCAGCCTGTTTTTATGAGTATTCTTACACAGCTTTAAGGTCCTGTCTCTTAACTAACTAGTTTAAGTTTCATGATTCAAGAAGGGGATTAAAAAAGCAAGGAACAGCTGGCAAGATGGCGCAGGAGAAAAGGTGCCAGCTGCCAAGCCTATCCACTTGAGTTTATCAATCCCTGGGACCCACAGAGAAAAATGTCCTCTGACCTCCACATTGGTATCTTGGTGTGTTCATACACACACAAATAAATAAATGCATTCTCTAAAGCATGGAAATTCATCTCATAAGAATGCCTGACATCTAGGTCAAACTTACCTTGTAATCTTGTAATCCAGGTGTCAATATTGAGCTTGGCATGCTAGACATTTGAAGTCCTCATTTCTCAAAGGCTTACTATCCAAATTTTTCTTTTTTAAAAACCCTGTCTTTCATGTTAAATCTGGTGATTTACACCTGCAATCCCTGCAATCAGAAGGCTAAGGCAGGAGGATGTCTTAGTTTGAGACCAGCTTAGGCTACATTGAATCCCAGGCCAGGCTAGAGTGAGAATGTCTTAACAGACGAAAAGTAAAAAAACAAAGCAAAACCCCACAAATCCACTCCTCAAATCAGAATAGTGCTTACTGTGTAAATACAGATCTATGAGGTCAATTTTCTTGGCTTCCTAGAACTCCCCATTTACTGAAAAATGGGAATATACATAAAACCTATTAACCTAACTAACTGAAGAGTTGGCCGCATCGTTGGTTGTACAGATGCACCTGCTGTCACCTACACATCAACAGAAAAAGTGGTTTCTAAGTACAATTTTTAATAATTCCCTTTCTCTGAGCCAACTATTTATTAAGTAAAATATACACATGAGGCTAAGTGATTAAAAAAAATCACAGGAAAGCATTCTCATGCAGTTGCACTTTTATAACTTTTAGAGGTAACTTTTATGGTAACAATTGTCAAAGCTTACAGTTTTTACAAACAAATCAATTACTTTCCATTTGTTTATAATGTTTAAAAAATCAATTTTTAGTGCTTGTACTAGATATGCTAGAATGCAGTGTTTAAATGTTTCTTTTCTATTAAGGAGAGTTTAAAAGACAGCAGTGAAGAAGTCTGATGACAGGTCAAATAAGCCTTAGGGAAAATGTGTCCTAAGAAAGGAAGAATGCTTGGCAGGGAACTATAGAAAGGAAGGGCTTCTATGAGGCAGAGGCCACTTTTGACAACACTCCCATTTCCAAAATGTCAGTGTTTCTCCAATATTTCATTTTTCAAAAAAGTAAACTTTAACAAAAGTAATAAGACTCTCCCAGAAAGAACTCAAGTATTTATTCAGGAGGGAAAGCTTAACCAGAGGTAAGCAGTATCCTCGATTCAACCACAACTAGACTAAATGACCAGTGTTTCATAACTTCAGAATGAATTTCACGATGCATTCAGAGGGGAGAAAAGATCTAAAGAAAAAAATCTGTATTTGTAATAATCTATTCTCAGTCAGGGTTTAACGCATAGTCAGAAGCGTTCGGGCTTCTCCAAGCCCTGTAGGAAAACGTTCTGTGATGCCAGTTTCCAATAGTTAACAAGAAAACTGGTCATTTACTTTTTTACGAACTAATGTATAACATTCAAATGATCAAAAAGTAGCAGCTGTCACCAAACACCTAGTGACGATTGGCGTGACACGTCTGGGGATATTCCAATACTCAACTCCATTATCTGAACAAAACAATTACTTAATGAGATAACTACCCAGTTTAATATTACTCTCTTGGTGTTTTGTGTGCAGTCTTGTAGAAGGGACCTTCGGCTGCAGTCACTTTTTCTTCCTTTCTTTCTTAACCATATGTTAACTAAGTAGAGAATTAGGCATTCAGTTCAGCAATTATCCCTCCAGGAAAAGCTTCCATTTGGCATGGACGACCAAAAAAAAAAAAATCTCCTAACTTTCAGCCAATTGCAAACCTCGGCTTCTCACCCTCTCTAGCGCTGCATGGAACCTATAGAATGCTGCACAAAGGAGAACGCGGTCGCCTAGGCTGGGGGCACAAGGGCTGTGGGGGCTCCTGGTTCCTGCAGCAGGTACAGGGTTAGGCGTGGGAGCCACGCTCGGGGTGGGGCGGTGGCCCCGGCTTCCGACGCCTCCACGCCGCCTAGGGAACACGCGGGACGCGCAGGGAGAGGCAGCGGGATGGAAAACACCCGCGCCCGTGCGTCACCCCGGCCGCATCGCGCACAGCCCAGGCCGCGTGACACAAAAGCCGGTCCAAACCCGCCGGACGTTTGGCACTCCCGAGGACTCCCATGTTTGGAGAGTCCCAGGCAGCGGGCAACAGCGGAAAGCCGCGGGCGCTCCGCCCCATCTCCGTTCCGGGCAGGAAGCGAGAGCTTCAAGGGAGAGAGAGCGCCAAGTCCCGGTCACCCTTCCCTAAACTCTGCCTCCGGCCTTCGGCCCCACTCCTCCCCCGGGCCCAGGGCCGGTGCCCTAGTACCGCTCCCGCGTGCCAGCCCCGAACCGCGCAAGCGCGCCGCCCGGGGCACGATGGGAAGTGCAGTCCAGCCGCACCACGCGCTAGGCAGCCGCGGGCGTCCGAAGCGGGAGCCCGGACTACAAGTCCCGCCGCGCCCCAAGGCCGGCGCCTCCCAGCCGGCCAG